ACAGCATGTCAGAGGGACACTTTGTCAGGAAAACTTTGAATTCATATGTCAAAGTGGTCATTGGCGAATCAATAGCATACCTAGGCAGGGAAACTGTTGAATTTATTGGTAACAATAACCAAACATATAAACAACATTACAGCATGTCAGAGGGACACTTTGTCAGGAAAACTTTGAATTCATATGTCAAAGTGGTCATTGGCGAATCAATAGCATACATAGGCAGGGAAACTGTTGAATTCATTGGTAACAATAACCAAACATATAAACAACATTACAGCATGTCAGAGGGACACTTTGTCAGGAAAACTTTGAATTCATATGTCAAAGTGGTCATTGGCGAATCAATAGCATACCTAGGCAGGGAAACTGTTGAATTTATTGGTAACAATAACCAAACATGTAAATGACATTACAGCATGTCAGAGGGACACTTTGTCAGGAGAACTTTGAATTCATATGTCAAAGTGGTCATTGGCGAATCAATAGCATAGTACGCTAGTACAAACATGTGATCTTCATTGCTCAAGTTCAATTATTTCTGGTATTAAGGTAGAATTAATTTTCTTCAATGCCAATGTTTGAAGTCATAACACACGACTTAATGTTTCGGTCATGTTTCTTGAAGGCATAATAGGCAGATACTTCAGGTAGCACATTATCATGTTCAACTTCGATGATATGCAAAATGAGTGAAATTCTTTCAATCTTAAGATGAAGTTCATGTTCATGAGTAAAAATTTCCGAACTCAAGACACGAGAATTCCTTTATCAGCCATGTGGGTTTGAAATACAATATAAAGATTGATTTTCTAAATCATTTTTAAATCTGTCATGTACTTGATTATTTCCACAGATGAATCCGGGAGTCCCTCTGACATGCTGTAATGTTGTTTATATGTTTGGTTATTGTTACCTAAATTCAACAGTTTCCCTGTCTAGATATGCTATTGATTCGCCAATGACCACTTTGACATATGAATTCAAAGTTCTCCTGACAAAGTGTCTCTCTGACATGCTGTAATGTTGTTTATATGTTTGGTTATTGTTACCTAAATTCAACAGTTTCCCTGTCTAGAATGTTTGTATTCACGTACATTATC